ACTTGGCTTTTGAAAGATTACTCAGTGCACTCTCAAAGCAATCGGCTATTTCCTCCTACTCCCTTGCCCTCCTGTGTGTGAAGAGATTCTTAGTGTTCTTCATTTCCTTTCAAGAACTCTCTGTGTTGTTCTTGAAAGTTCTTCTCTTTGTAAGATTGTTTAGGTTAGGTTTTCCTTTCCTATCTTCCGCAACAATCTTTTGTATTTCTATGTGTATTAATTCTTGATATAAATCAATAAGAATTAAAAAGTTGAAAAAATCTGTGTAATTGTATTCAACCCCCCCCCCTTCTACAATTACTTTCTGTTTATTGCCTTACCCTTCGGGACTAACATTTATTCTCTGTTATTTTCATCAAGTCATAACTCCAACCAAAAGATTTCTTCAAATTCATTATCTGAAATCATTTCTTTCATTAGACTTTTACTCTAATGGACAATATTCGGTAACTTTTACCATTTTATTATTTGAAAGACGATATTGGGTCATATCTTATACTTGTTTTTGGTTCCAATTATCACATGTCTAAGGGTGTGTACAAAGCAATATCAATAATCCTAATATTCTCACTCCTCATATATATCTAACTAGTCAGCTAATAAGCTCAATGAGTTCATGGTTTCATGTAACAAACATGCACATACCGAAAACATCACTCCTTAAACATTTTTCATGCAAATAGCTCATATATAAAACATGTTTGCATAAAATATTTCTTTTAAATATTGAGACTGCTTTAATCCTCGCATAATATTGTTCACTGGGTCCCCTTGGTTGGTTAGTGTACTTGGAGCTACTGGTCTGCTCCTCACAAGCACACTTGTTTGACTACATAGTTGGCATCCCGATCGATGAAACCATACACACACCATTATACCCAAATCATTTTTCATGCATAACTGAAAGTAATCTATCCTCATGCAACATGCTAAATGAATTAAAACATTTTAAATACATTACTCGCAAATCTTATCGTTAGAAACTGCATACATGTGGTATATATTAGAATCATAAACCAATTACGACCCTTTTACCAAAAACACATACCACATACAAATTTATGCTAAAAATATGAGTTTGTACATAAAAATACATTACATTTTAAATAACATGAAACTATGATATTGGTTCCAGGTATATCATCTAACGGTTTAAGTGTCTAAATGACAAAAGACATTACTGATACTTTGATTCGCAAGAATGGAAGGATCGGACAAGACAAACCTATTTGGAAACCTATACGACCATAACTGAGGTTGTTTCTAAGCTCACTTACACTGCATGTGAGGTCAGAGAGCTTGCAAGCCCTTGACTCGCCCTGAACGTGAACTCCTTGGTGAGCTGAAGCTTGCTCCCAAATTCGTTTACACTTGTGCAAACCTAAACGTAAGTTTCAATCTCTTTTATGCCTTCATCGTGAGCTCATGTGCAAGCTCACTTGTTTTATCACCAGTTTCGATAATAGAAGTTGTTCTACAAACATACTCCATGAAACTCTCAAATCTCAATTATATGTCGATTTTATCACTTCTTTTTGCATTAGAATGTTTGTTAACACTTATATGTATCCATAACTACAATATTGGCATTGATTTAACACTATAGTACATATAATAATCGAGTATTTCATGCATCTATGCATCTTTTTTCCAATTCTCATCAATTCAATGACCATAAGGCCTCACATTTGGATGTAATAAGCGATGCTAATCCCTCACGAAACATAATATCTTAGTGACCCAACATTTTCATGTAGAAATTATACTTCAATTTGGTATTTCTTTCTTAAAAACTTTTTGCACCTTTTTTGCAATGTTCTTGCTTCAATGTCGTAGCAAAAATCACTCATTTTCTTCACAAATTTCGTTGGATTTGCTTATGAAGTTTGAAGAGAGTAATGAGATAAGATAATTAACTGGATAAAAAATCAGACACAAGTTTAGAGCATCTCTAACAGATTCTTTAAAATGAAAAAAATAAGGAGTTTGACAATCTTTTGCTTTAACAGATTTTTCAAAACTTTCTCCAAAAACATAGAAAGTAAATTTGAATGTTTTAATAATATAACAAATATTTTAATCTTTAGAATAAAAAAATATTATAATTCATAAGTCCCAAATAGTATTTCAACCCTTTCAACTTGTTTCTTTTAATTATGAACCATTAAAGTCCACCTTTGAAAATCGATTTTATAATTAATCCTATTTTAAGATGTTACATGTAACCCAGAATCCAATTACGAGTCTCTGATTTAAGAAATTTTATACGTATAATAAAAAAAACGCCTATTTAAAACAAAAAAAAAATACCGTTTTATATTCAATAAGTTGATAATTTTGTTAAATATGTAAACGGGTTGGGTATTAATTTGTTTAATCGTTTATCTATATTTTTTTTACAAATCATTTAAGTAAAACTCTTAAAATTTTAAAATGTAACGTTTATTAAACATTAAATACAAACTACTAATGCATAAAAAGTCATGGGTTTTAAACCACAAGGGTGGTGCCTTTGGTTTGAGCTTGACTCTAAAGATCAAAGGTATCATGAGATCACAGATTCAAATCCAAGAAGGAATAAAAATCCTCATGTGGCCACGGAGGTTCAATTGCGGGTTGGGATTAGCGGCTTAAATATCCAAGTTAATAAAAAAAAAGATTCATGGGTTTGTGGAGAATTTTTTTGAGTGAAGTACGCTCGCACATAAGTGGAGCAACAAAAAATAGAGCAGATTTCACGTCTATAAAAGAAGTATGAAACTTTGGTTTCAGAACGTTATATAATTAAATACACTTTTCCTCACCGGATGAACATGACAAAGGCCAAGAATCTTACCTGGTTAGAGTGATGATAAGGATTGAGAGTCTTACCCGGTAAGTGAGGATGACGACTCTTACCCGGGTAGCGCTTACCGGGTAAATTGTTGCATAGGATACCGTTTGATGTACTACAATCTTATCAGATAAAAGTAAATTATAATGTTGATTCCTACTGATAAGTACTTATCGAGTAAGCATTTGGATAAACGATCCCTAAGTATTTAAATGCTCTTTTCTTTCTTATTCTGTTGTTATAACATGTAAAAATGATGAGATAGATTCTTGAAGAGTACGAGTGTAATTGGAGGTAGTTTGAGGGATTGATTTGTGTGATAATAATAAATTTTCACATAAATCAAAACAAGTCAACATATTTTGCTGGTTTTTATATGGATAAATGATTGTGTGAGAATATGAGTTAATGTGAGAAATGTAAAAAATAATTTGGACTCTTGATCACTTTTAATCTCACTCCGACCACATGAATTGTGTTTCTAACGAGAATTGATCCAATGCGTCTCTGTGCACACAAATCATGTAGATCTTCAATTATGATTGATCCAAAGGTGAACATCTCTTATCACATTTCTCACTATAACTTTCATTCTCACAAAAAAACAAACTTTTGTATATAATTATAGACATGTAAATTATGCTTTATTCAAAAAAAAATTTAGCTTTCCATCTTGACAAAAGATCGTGTGAGAAGGAAAATTATGGTGAGAAGCGTAAGAAAAGATCTGAACTCTTGATCACTTTTAATCTCATGTCTACTCATGAATTGTGTTTTATAAGGGAATTGATCTCGGTGTACCTCATCACTGTTGACATTCAATTAGGATCGATCCAAACGTAGCGTCTTCTTAACACTTCTCAACATAACTTCACTTCTCATCGAAACCCAACATTTTCATCTTAACGATAAATCAGTTAATTTTTCATCCTCCATTTAACAATAAAATTTTACATTATGCTATAACATACTATTTAACATGTTAAAAATGATCAATCTTCAAATGAATTCATGATTTGTCAAATCCATTTAATTATGAAATATTTTTTTAATAATAGTAAGAAAATAAAATTTGTAGATCAAAACATTAAGGGGGGTGTTTGAGATTGTTTATTTGAAACAACTTATGAATTTCTATAAAAAAACTTATCAATTTATTATAAGTCAGAAGGGTTTAATTTCTTCAAAAACTTCTTATTACCGGTTTGGCACCGATATAAGTTGTTTATGAAAACACTCAAAAGTGCTTATTACCGGTGTCACACCGGAATAAGTCAATAAGTTGTTTTTATAAGCAATCTCAAACACCCACTAAACAATATTTGTTAAGAAAACCACAAGGGCGGTACCTGATTGGTTTGAACTTGGCTCCAAATGTCAAAAGTACCAGGAGGTCTCAGGTTCAAATCCTAGGTGGAATAAAAATCCCCTTGTGGCCACGAGGTTCAAATGCAGTGACTCTGGGCTATCTGCAAAGCAGGTGGTCGTCCTGGGATTAATCGACTCGCATAGCGGGTTTGATATCCAGGTTAATAAAAAAAAAAACAAATATTTGTTAAGAAATAAAAAATATAAAATTGGATAAAAAATATAATGAATTTTCTTTTCCCAAAAATGAATGAAAAAGTAGGGGGTAGGATTGTAAAAATGCAAAACAAAATTGAAAAGAAGGTTCAAAATTACTTTGGTATGAGTCTGATGTGTGCGTCGGAGTTGTTCAACGCGGAAAGCCAAGTCTAGCCTATATTACTTCTATCGCCTTTCTGGATCCAATCAGAATCCGGTGACGGCCGTCGCTTCTTCAAGATCTCCGGCAACCGGAACAACAAATCCGACTTTCTTTCGTAAATTATTAATTATATTCTTCTTTATCTTAATCTGTTAGATTGAAACTGTCACTTCATTCATACTCATCCCTCGAGATCCAAACTCTTCCTCCACTCATTAATTAAAGGAACCTCATTGTTCTTGATTCTGTAAGTATTTGCAATTTTACTTTTGTTTTTAATTTTTAATTTTTTTACTCCTTACTATGAGATCTGAATTTCTATATCTTTGTATTTTCATGATTCATGGTTGTGCTCTCTGATGTTTGAATTTTGATTATCGGCATCACGTTATTGGCATTTAGGACTTTAGTTATGGTTGGCTGAAATGACAAGGTAGAATTTACACGATGGAGATTACAGATGGTAGAGTAAATCGTGAAGTGTTTGAATGATTTGATCCCATTTAGAGGTATTCTGTGTTGGCATCATTCACTAATTATGTCAAACATTATGTGAAGAAGTACTAGCCATAGTTTGTTGCGCATGCAAAGGAGAATTGATTCACAACTAGTACTCTCTAACTGACCCATGAATGCCAATTCTAGAACTCCTTAAATTTATGATTTACATGAATATGTTTATCTTATACTGATTTTTCTATTTTGCAGGGTTCTTGTATATCTTTATGTATATACCAGTGTTCTATATTAATTCTGGAGTTAAAAAGTAACATTTGACTCTCAGAAGTTGAAGTAGGATTCAGGACTTATCCTGTGCAGGAGTAGATTTTGGGTTGGCAGTATTTGGTGGAATTTATATGACTGGAAGTTTTTTCTAACTAACTACATTTTTCTGTTATCCACAAAGGGGTGAGATTTTTGAACATGTGATCTTGCTCAAGAAAAGGAGAGGAACTATTGGTTGTGTAACGTAGGAGGATTTTGTGAAAAAGGGTCTGTCATGATATGCAATATTATAAACGTAAAAAATTGGTGAAGGGTGAAAATGAGTATTGGAATGAGCGTGCCAAGTTTGGCCTTCAGTTATTTGCATATAAACTATACTCGCTATTAATGGAGTCTTAAGTGAGAAGCCGGATGCCCTTGTATATCATTAGGCTGGTATTAACATTTCGGTCACATGTGAAAGGAAATCCATATCTGAATATGTGACACTGTGGACTATTAAGCATGTTTACAAACTGTGTTGTTGTTTACTTTAATGTTTCAGGTGGCATTCCTACTTAATAACTAGCCATATTTAATTGTCATTTGGCAGTGCCATTATCTGGCTATCTAGTATACTGACAATAAGATTTTTGCAGGTGAACATATGTATTTAACTGCCAATGCCAGTAATGCGAAGAGTTTTGTTTTTATAAGTTGTGCATGCTGTGGGAAGGGGAGATGAAACTCTTTATATGTATTTTGGCATTAAGTTTTGGGATGGCATGCTACTTGGCTTAAAACGTTCAAGTTTCTGCAAACATGGCATTTAGTGGAATTGCAGAAATTATTTCCTCTGTGACAAGTCGTTTCTCAGCTCCAAAATCTTCTACTAGTCCATATGCATCCTCTGGATTACCACCGCTGGGGGGTCCTGTTCATGGTTTCGGTTTTCCTGGTTCTAGACAAAAGAATCTTTTAAGACTCTCCTCATCCCTTCAAGATTTCTCCGCATATCGTCGACTTGATCCAGAGGATGGTAATCCCAGCCCTGGAATTGAGAATAGTTCACCAAATATGAACCAGCATCATTTCTCAAGAGAGAATGGTGGGACTAGTTTCTCCAAGGAGAAGTCATTGTTGCAAACTACTGTACGAAGAAAGTGGGTGCGTGTAATCATGGTTCTATTCTGCCTGCTGTTGTTGGCTTCTCTTATTGGGTTGCTCTTTTTCTATTCCAACTGGTCTCAAGGATCAGCCAGATTCTACGTTGTACTTGATTGTGGTAGCACTGGAACGCGGGTTTATGTGTACCAGGCATCTATAAATCACAAAAAAAGTGGCAGCCTTCCTATTCTGTTGAAATCAATACCAGAGGATCTTCAGAGCAAACCTAGTTCTCAGAGTGGGAGAGCTTATAATCGTATGGAGACTGAGCCTGGGTTTGATAAACTGGTGCATAATGCATCTGGCTTGAGGTCAGCGATAAAGCCACTTCTTAGTTGGGCAGAAAAGCAGATCCCTAAACATGCTCATAAGACTACTTCGGTGTTCCTTTATGCTACAGCTGGTGTTCGTAGGCTGCCTGCTTCGGACTCAGACTGGCTTCTGAAGAATGCTTGGTCCATAATGAAGAATTCATCTTTCTTGTGCCGGAGAGAGTGGATTAAGATTATTAGTGGCATGGAGGAAGCATACTATGGATGGATAGCTTTGAACCATTATGCTCATGTGCTTGGAGCTAGACCAAAGAAAGAAACATTTGGTGCACTTGATTTGGGTGGCTCATCATTGCAGGTCACGTTTGAGAGCAAGGACTACCAAAACAATGACACTAGCTTAGACCTGAGAATTGGTTCTCTGAACCATCACTTAAGTGCCTATTCTCTGGCAGGTTATGGTCTTAATGACGCTTTTGATAAATCTGTGGTTCATCTCTTAAAGAAGAGTCCCCAAACCAGTAAGGCTAATATACTAAAAGGAAAAGCTGTAATACGACATCCTTGTCTGCAGTCTGGGTACAAAGAGAGATACATTTGCTCCCAGTGTCAATCTGCATTTCAAGCTGATGGGAGACCGAACAGTAGGAAGGTTTTGGGTAAAGGAGGAAAATCTGGAATTCCAGTTCAATTGATTGGTGTTCCAAAATGGGAGGAATGTAGTGCGTTGGCAAAAACCACTGTCAATTTATCAGAATGGTCAGATAGAAGTCCAGGAATTGATTGTGATTTGTACCCTTGTGCTCTTCAAAATAACCTGCCTCGTCCATATGGACATTTCTATGCCATGTCTGGCTTTTATGTGGTTTATCGGTTTTTCAATTTGAGTGCTGATGCTGCTCTTGACGATGTTTTAGAAAAGGGTCGGGAATTTTGCGAAAAAGCATGGGATGTTGCTAAGAAGAGTGTTCCACCCCAGCCCTTCATAGAGCAATATTGCTTCAGGGCACCATATACTGTGTTACTACTGAGAGAAGGCTTGCACATAACAGATCGTCAAGTCAACATTGGTTCAGGAGGTATAACTTGGACAACAGGGGTTGCCCTGTTGGAAGCTGGGAATGCAATATCATCCAGGGCGAGACTGTATAACTACAGATTATTTCAGATGCAGATGAACCCAGTTGTAATTTCCGTGGTATTGTTTGTTTCCTTGTGTCTTGTAGTCTGTGCCTTGTCGTGTGCTGGTAATTGTGTGCCAAGATTCTTCCGTAGGCTATATCTACCCCTTTTCAGGCACAACAGCACCTCAGGGACTTCTGTTCTCAATATATCAAGTCCTTTCAATTTTCGGCGTTGGAGTCCTATCATTTCAGGTAATTTCTTCTAACATATAGTTTGCATATGCATCCGTTATTCTCAAATTTATATGGCATGTGTAGTGAACTCTGAACATATTGGACACCAAAATTTCATGGTACCTGAAATACCTTCAGTTTTTTCAATGATCACAAGCAAGGTGCCCCTAAGTAATCTTCATTTTACATCATCTACATGCTCATCTGTTTGTAGAGCAACTTATGATGTGCTATATGCAGCTGGGTTCCCTAAAATAGTGCAAACGAGAATGTGAACGTGTGCATCATCATGTAGGCAATATATAAATTATATATAAATCTATTTAAATGTCATTTTTAGTCTTACTTGTCAATAGTTCTATAATCATCCAGCTGATTTCAATAATCTGAGTTGTTTTAAGCCTCATACCTAGTTGTTGTAGACTTGTAGTCAACATGACCTTACTGGATCTCTCACCTGATTGGGTGATCATCAATGTACTACTGATGTTGATATATGATCCAATTTAACCTTCCAAAATTGAGGAATTGTATTGGATATGTGGCTACTACTTAACAGCAGAGAAGTGGGTGTCAACTAGGTTCAGGATCTTTACAGTCGGTGTATTTCATCCTTTTCCCAGTTCCAATTTTATTTCCTCCATGTCAGCTAATTTTGTGTACTGAAGGTTAATATAACTGTAACAGTTAATCTCCTCACAGTTTCAGTTTATTTTATTTTAACTGTCTCCATGTAAGATTAAGGTAGTTTCCGACTAGAAGCATGATTTCCATTTATCTTCCATATTTAATTTTCTGCATCTATATCTTGAATAGCTCCAATCAGGGGTGTGTAATCAGGTCAGATGTTACCGTATCTGTATTTGAACTGCTTGTATTGTGTGTGCATATGGATATATGTGTTTGTGTGTGTATATATATATATATATTTGTTTTATTGGATACGTATTGCATATTTTATGCATTTACATGTTACCTGATAGTTGATGAGAATTTGATGAACAGTCTATTAATATCATAGAGATAACATATTTGTATAAAGCAATGCATATAAGTTTTGACTTACTGTCAAAAACACACCTTATTTGCAATCATTAAGTAAATCTTATTTTCTAATCATTATACAATTCAATAACCAGATACAATTGTTACTCCCTCCTTCCCATAAAAGAATTGAACACTTGACTTGACAAGTGATTTAACTATTGATTAATTGTCAATTATGTTCCTTAATACCAAAATAAAGAATACTTGTGGACCAAAAATGAAGGGACTAATTCCAAATAATGGTTACTAAGGGGCAAAAAGAACTCCATTTGAAAACTTTGCAAAAAGAAAACACTACGATAAAATCGGCTAGGATCCAAATATGTATAAATGCCCTAATAGACTGTTTTATAGGAATTTAGTTTATAGGACCAAACAATTGTGTTATCTATATAAATGTGTTACAGCAGGCTAATTTTTGGGGAATTTTAGACCAAGCTTCTGATAAACTTTGATTTTCTGCTAACCCAGCACTRACTCTTCTATATATTTCTTGTTGGAAGTACCCCTGATCCCATTGATAATGAGTAGGCCCAAATAATTCGACGGGGGTAGTCGCTGAACCATACCACATAGTTCCGACAACAACAAAAGCTGCAAAAGACGTTAGGGCGTATTTGAGCATCCTAACAAGTTCTATTGGACACTTTTGAGAATTGCCTATCAATGCATCTTTTTATATGGTACTTGTTTATTATACACTTTTTTAAAAATAATATCATATAAAAAGATAGGATTTATTTCAAAAGTGTCTTAAAAAACCTTGTTAGGACGTCCTAAAGCGTCCGTATCAACTTTACATATGACACCCAAGAATTTGGTAATATAAACTTAAGTCCTATACTACAGTCTATTAGGACATCTAGACATATTGCGTCTTGTAAACCTAATGTTGCAGTGAAACTTATTGGATATAGATATGACCGTCATGGATGACTTAAGTTGGATATGGAACTCCAAATCACATCCTTTTCACCTTGATAACTATGAACCATAAGTTTGTTGTTTTCTTATCTAAAACTTGTCATTTTTCTGGTGTCTAACTCAGGGGAAGGAAGAGTTAAGATGCCTCTGAGCCCAGTGGCAAGTGCTCAAAACAGACCCTTTGGTCCCGATATCCAGCTCGCTGAATCTTCATTATATCCATCATCTAGCAGCGTTGCACATAGTTTTTCTTCAAGTAGCTTGGGACAGGCCCAATTCGATAATAATAGCAGTAACATGAGTGCATTCTACCCCGGCCCTCACCGAGGTCAAATGCGTCTCCAGAGCCGACGATCACAATCTCGAGAAGACCTTAATTGTTCCGTTGCTGATGCACATTTGGTCAAGGTTTGATGAGGTACCTCCTGTTTTCCCCACCACTTTGTGCCAATATACCTTATTGCTCAAAATAAACTCAGATCATATTCATGGGGACTTTGTAAAAAAATTGCACTGCTTTTCGATCCTGTCAACTGGCTCGGAAGAATGACTGATTAGAGATGGGTGAAAAGTTGTGATGGCTAACCCGAGATGGTTAGGCCTGAGCCCTGTAAATAGCTTAACACGTTGACCTTGACTACGCATCGTTTGACCAATCTGTTTTGGTTTGGGATGGTCGATCTGTGTCGAGGTTGTTGAAGGTGAGGCCTAATTAAGGGTTGCCATTCTTTTGAAGAAAATTTTTGTACAATCGATTCGCTGTTTTTAAGTAGGAAAGATGGAATGTTAACATATTGGCCTAATTGGGGGATTCTTTTTGTACAATATACGATAGATGTTTTCGGCTAAAAGTTAGATTTATGTTCTAAGTGATATGTCGTTTTCTGACTGCTCCGGGTTTTCTATATCCTAGAATCAGACTAACTGAATGCCTTCTCGAGGAGGAGGTTTTTATTAGATACAATGTTTTAGGTCGTTTTTGGTTCCGTTTTCGAACAAGTTCTGTAAGGTTTTTCTTTTGTCATGAAATAAGTGGGATAAGAATGCTTAAATGTGATGAACTATGCAGAGTTCTTTAATAAAGGTTATGAAGGAAGTAAATGTATAGCAAAACTCTTTTGGGGATCTAGTTTTTGCTTTTGGTGAGGTTGGAACTATATTGGATGAAAATAGTAAACATGAACCGAACCCATGAATCAGTTTTGAAATGGCTTCGATCTCTAGCCACCATACACAACAACGCTCCCATATTACTACCAATATCGCAATTTTTCATAACTATAAAAGTATAGTATCATCACAAGGTGCACGGTTTTTTAGTTTATGCGAAGCGAAAATATTTGTTTTTAGATCTAAAAAAATGTTTTACAACATATGATACAACTACGTTACACACAAACAAGTTTATATTGCAAAGTTGCAATGTAAAGAGAAGGCATAAAAGATGGGTAAAACTTGAATCAAGTATGAAAATCATGATTGATTAAACTAGATAATTTTTAGAAAGAAAAACAAAATGAAGTTCTACATTTGGCAAATCCATATTGTGCAAGTTTTATAATACTTGCAGCGTCTCCTATCCTATCATATACGTACACATACACAGTACTTGTGGCCACTGAGAGACCTCAGGGTTGTGGACAAAACATACAATCGCAATTTGCCATTGGGATTAATCTGGAGGGAACCTGGGAATAAGCAACTAAAAAAACCAAATCAACCTTGTAAGATCATCTTTTCTTTGGGTAAAAAATTTAAAATATATCATAAAAACAAGAAATGAAATTGAAATTAGAGAAGGCCAATGCATCCTCATGTGCAGGCATCCTTTGCACCTCAAGTCAGCACACTCCTGTATCATTTTGTGTTCAATATTTGTATAATTATAACCCTGTTCAGATCCAACAACATAATCCATAAGACAAAATGAAAAGATTTACGATCAAAACCTCATAACAACCTCGTCTTCTTCGCTTCTTCAAGCCTATTGCCTTTCTAAATCTACATAAGCAGGCGGCTCATCTGCAAGAAATAGTCGGCCACCAAATACCACCTTGACACTGCATGATATCCGGTAGTACTGCAGTCAGTCAGGATGCTTGTATATTTAACCACTTCTCCCAATCAAAGCAATTCTTCTGTTCCAGTTAGTTTGGCATATTCTGCTTCGTTAATAGCTCCCTTTTTAAGCTTTTTCAGAAGCCGATATTCTCTTGCAAGTTCATCGTCGTCCTCGGCTGACTGTGCAGCACGTCGCTGCTTGGCTGTTTTCTTCTTCATGACAGCAGGTGTGTTCTTTGCGGTGGATTTAGCCTTGTGGGTTTTTGGTTCTTGCTGCACATCTTTCTTCACTTGCAGGTTTTTCTTTCTTTGTTTCTCTCTAGATTTATCCCTGAACAATAAAGATAAAAAAGCCATTTAATCTTGATGCATGTTTTGGTCAATGGTGATTGCTATATTCTTGACACAGAACTGTATGTGCCAACCCACCTCTTTCTGTTTCTATTTCTTATAAGGGTGCGGTTTGGTATATGGGAGAGATTAGAGATGACATGGGGTGAAAGAATTGTGGAAAATTTGGAATTTTAATTTGACATGGGGTAGTTTAGTAATTTACCAACTTTGTCTCATCTCCCTGATTCTTGTATCCAAATCTAATGTCACATTAAACGTGGGACAACATGTTTTGGTATTGTCCAGTCCTGTCTCATCCCACACACATACCAAATGCACCCTACATGTCTTGTACCATATGCATCAAACTTTAGCCTTTACTTTCCAACTAGCTTTTTACCTGGAATTTTAAGTATTTATCCCCAATTTTTACTTTGTTCAACACCAATTTATCACTATTTCGAACACCAATTCATAGTTTTTAATCATAAATATGTAGTTTCTCGTTGTTTCTCACGAGCAATTTATCATGAATTTGAAATTGGAGCTAAAAAGATAAAGTTAAAGATAAATTCTAAATGCAGATGATACAAGTTGTTAATATCAAAGTTCCATAATTAGAAATATCATTTGACTCGGTGGTTGTTGGTCGAGCGAAGGATCCAAAATCAGTAGAGGTTTAGTTGGTTTTTTCAGAAAATTATGATCCTGTCCTAAAATTCATAATATGACTAATAATATTGAACTAATTCCCATTATGAATTTGGAATACAATTCGGTGAATCATAATATCAAACTCATGTTTAATACACGAATGCCAAGAAGAGTGTAAAGGTAAAGGCAAAACTTACTTGAACTTGATTTCCTCCAGGTTTATATCTTCAGCAGCAATAAATCCATCGGTAGAAAGTGAGTTCTGTTTTACCTCTGACATTGAAGGTAGCTGCAATAAGCCATATCCCATGCCTAACTTTCCAATCTCTAGGTCTTTCCATCTGATGATACGAAGATGACTAAAACATCAGACAGAAAATACAACATTCTGTCACATGATACAGGAGCAGATGGCATCAAATGTAACCTGAGAATGTAATTGCAGTGATGCTCTTTGTAAGCACGGATGTAAGAAACGAATGCTCTTAGTCCTTTTTCCATGACATCACGATCCTTCTTTGCAGCAGCACGTAACTGAATACAATAGTTGCGATTAGATAAAGAAATAATTAAACAAGTCTTTTCTAAACCTACTAAATCAAATATACTTAAATTTATCAACAAAGTGAGGCAGGAGTGAGCATGGCTTTAACATAAGAGGTGATACTTACATGGGGAACCACATCAAGCGCGTCTTCGGAGCATGTTTTCTCTTCTAGTGGAATCCTTTTAATGCGCAAAAATTCCACATATGCCTCCTCCTACATGACCATTGCAAGAAACATGTTATAAGTGATCCTGAAACAAGAAAACAACAATGTATGGAGAATGAACAAAGCCAAACTCAAACCTTTGGTAAAAGAAAAACAATGGCACTTCCTCGTCGTCCCAACCTTGCAGTCCGTCCAACTCTATGAATGAACACATTAGGATCCTGAGGAGGGTCATACTGAAAGCAACAGATGCACGTATCAGTACATGGGGGTAAGACCAATGCTCAACTCGTTTTAATTTTAATAAAAATCAATCAATTGATATCTAAATGATTTTGCTAGTTACTTCAGTGACACTGGAGTGTTCTCAAGTGGTATAAGAGTTGAGTAAAAACGAAAGACAATTTCCAAACTGGTTAGGAATTTAGAAGGCTGCAGAACCTCGTTTTTTGGGTCAACTTTGAAAATTAATCTGTATTATCAATGAGCTTTTAGCCAATTATATTTATATGATAGGAAATCAAATTACTTAAACGAGTTGCTTATTCCTTTTAATTATTTATTTGCTTTCTTTGGAGGTTTAAGTAGCTATCAATTACCTTTATGACTTTCTGTAAAACTTTCTTGATTTCTACATATGGTTTGTCAAGATGGTTCAGTCCTTTTCTTTTCCCTAAGATAGCTTTTATCACCAAGTTTGAAGGGTTATTCCAACTTAGCTATTTAAACACTTGGAACTCTTGTAATGGATCATTTGGAGTTGATATTATTATTTAAATCATTGGTTACTTGAGTGGAAGGTGTCCTTCCTCAGTTTTCACTCTACCTCCTTGGTGGATTCCATTGAGTGGCTACAAGCTCTTATCAATCAGTGGATTCCCTTGGAGGTAAGTTTGTTTATTTTATTTATTCACTTGCATTTCCTCCTTAGGGAGTTGAATCTCATTCTCTTTCCGGCATCATTCAGTCCCAAACCTACAAAACAACAGGTAAATGGGCATACACAAATATCATTGCTATCAGATATCCATGTCCAGTCAAACTAGTTCGTCATAGAGGCTTCTCCTTTCGTATTCCATCTTTTAAAAGCCGGCTAAGAATATGGAACAGCAAAAGTATACCGACACACAGAACGAGTTATACATTACAACATACAGAAAAATGAGCAAGTATTCACCTGCACTATGCAATCAACGCCTGGAATGTCAAGTCCACGTGCTGCAACATCAGTGCACAGAAGAATGCCATCCGAAAGAGATGTAAATGACGCTAAGGCTTTCTCCCTTGCTGTCTAGCAAGGATAGTAGGAAGGTCAGATGGGACAAATTATAGTTGCCTCTCAGCCATTATACTAGACATTGGCCTTCATATTTAGCTTTATCATCTTACCTGCTTCATCTTCCCATGAAGAGAAATTAAAGACAACCCCTTCAGGGCAGCAAGACGTGGAAGTACAACCCCCCAATAATCCACACAAGCACAAGTCATGAAGTAGCTGCAGACAGAAAATCATTCATAATTACCTTACATTGATGGAAAGTTTTGCTGTTGGTCAGTCAGAAAGCATTCAAAGTTAACTCACACTATTATCTTCTTAGACTTGTTCTTAATGAAGAAATCCACGAGCTGTGATGATTTCTTGTCGGCTTCACATGTGATAAACTGAAATTTACAAAATTATAATAAATTAGCACTGCGTTATTTCTACAACCACAGGCATCCACTTAGAACTTAAATTGAAATCAGATCATATCAAATTATTTCCTAAAAGATGAAACTTTGGCTATGCATACATGCCTCAATATGAAGGCCTGAAGGTGTTTTTGAGGAGGCCACATGGCCTGAGGAAGAACATCCTAATGATTTTGTCTCTGCACGAACTTCAACTCTTACAGGGTTCCTTAATCCCGCCTTTGATAGTTCTTCGACAGCCTCGGTTTGAGTAGCTGAGAAGAGACCAGTTCTACGTAGCTTTGGTAAGCGAGATATTATCGAATTTATCTGCTTCTGAAACCCCATATCCAGTAGTCTATCAGCCTCATCCAGAATCAAAATCTGCAAAGCCACAAAGTTGTTTATAAACTCACTTTTCTATGAGGATATAGCATATTTCTCTACAAGTGAAGCCGTTCAGCAAACACACCAAAAGAAAATACAGATGATGGAAGTAGTAAAAAAGAAACTACAATCTACGTAGCATGAATTCAAGACAAAAAATAAGCTGAACAAAAAACTCATAATTGTAAGGATAAAAAACCGAGCAATATATCCTTGAAAAACTAGCAGATCTGAATCTCATGCCAAGGAGATGGATGGAGACTAGGTTTACATTCTTTATCGATGCAACCGAGGTTATATACTTAATGTGGGAAGACCTGATGAATGGGGAAAAAGCAATTACCTCAAGGTTACGAAAATCCAAGATATCCACGCGATCCATTATGTCATGTAGCCTACCAGGTGTGCCTATTAACAAGTTTGCTCCTTCATCCTCTATTTTCTTCATGTCTACTTTAACTTCGGTTCCCCCCACAAGGAGCACTGGCTTAATATCTGGCAGTGATGAAATAAATGGTTGTGCGACATGGAATATTTGTGACGATAACTCTCTTGTTGGAGATATGATAATTCCCAGGACCTGTAGACAGTGAAAGACATAAGCCATCGAACGACGAGAACAAAACTGAGGTAAGAGGTCCAAAAACCTATACACAACAGACCAAAATTCAAGTACAGAGAAAAATGTAAGGGAAAAAAACCGGTAGCAAAAAAAGAAAATCGGCCAAGCCTGCATACAAACCAAATAGACTTGAGCACATCATTAAGATTGATTGCAAGTGTTTATGCATAAATAAGTTCCATATAAACATAGCAATACAAGTTACAGAATTTATAAAAGCTACATAAGCTCTTCTTATCAACAAAGAACTAGTACACAACTCTATGCCTGAGGTTACTACTTACTAGCATCTGCCCAAAGCTTATTAGCATAACCATACATACAAATAGAAGGTTTGGCAGAAACAAATTAAACCAGAGCTCAACCACTCTAATTATACTACTTCACTCAATCTACGTCCCAGCTATAAAGAGCTTGCTACACTAGTAGCCAGGTTAATCAACAAGGTTATGATTCAAAGCAATGACGCACCTATTTTGCCTTTACCATTTCACCTTTAACATCACAATCATATATGAAAGCACAACATTATCATTACTCGTTTAGAAGAGCATTTACACCAGATAGCTGTCTATCAAATTTTGTTGGATTAATAATTAAGATTTTTTTTTTCTTCTTTACAACCTCAACTTGATGATCAGTATTCCATTCTAAACAGTTTTCCTTTTTCTGAATAACTGAAAATTTAAGTCAATTTCGAGTATAAAGAGTTAAGCACTACAAAGCCAAACAATTGACCACAAGACGATTAGAGCTACACTAGTCTGCGCCTCCCTGTGCGTCGTTAGGAAGAAGGTACCTCCTGAGGTTTAGCAGAAGTCGTGCGACGGAGTATCTCGACGAGTGGAACAACAAATGCTAGGGTTTTACCCGAACCGGTGGCGGCGTCGACTGCGACATCCTTGTAGCTGCATAGCAAAGGTATGGTGGCCGCCTGCACGGGAGTGCAGAATTCGAAGCCTGAACTAGATAACACGTCAATAACTTCATCGGAAAGTGGCGGATTGAGGTCGGAGAAACGAGTATCAGTTAAGGCTCTGTTTGGATTCGAAGATTCAGTTAACGCCATAACTGTTTGCGTTAACGGCGGTGGACATGTGAGGAAGGAAAGGGTTTGCGCTTATGGTATTTAAACAAATCCCTTGGTTTCTAAAACAATGTTGCACTTTGCACCCATCTAATTTTATATTTTTCTATTTATAGTACTACCAAGTATACAAAATGGACAAAATAGTCCTCCAAGTTTTGTTTGGTGTAAGACCATCTCCAATGACAACATCAAATACCAAATTTGACACTAAGGGGCCGTTTACCAAATACTTACCCAGTAAGTGTTTATCGGTAAAATTTAACATTATTATTTACTTATCGGATAATATTTTGGTCCACCAAAACGACATTGTATCCAACAATTTACCCGGTAAGCTCTTACCGTGGTAAGAGTCGTTGTACTCACTTACCGGCAGACTCGTTCTTGACATTTTATAGGCCCTGTGCGAACATAAAAACAGGGCCCACTGCAAGTAACAAGGTTTTTAGCAACGACTTTTGTCGTCGCTAAAAATTCATTTATCATCAGAAAAAGTATATAACAACAACATGTTGTTGCCATAACTTATGGCGGAAACATGTCATCGCTAAAAAGCACATTGTCAAAACTCACTTTTCTTATAATGACCTCGATAAGTACGAAAAAAATTCTATAATTGTTCTTCATTAGTATAAAATTGAGTATAAGAAATGCTAATAATTCACTGAGGAAAGAAATCTTATTTATCTTTATTATAGATATATAAGAGAGTAATTAAATTCACGTACTTCTTGTTAGGTAATTTGAAACCAAGAATATAGAAACTATGGTTGATAAATTTTTATAAAAAGTAAGAATTTTTTTAGTTCATAACAAGAAATATGTGTTATTTTGATACAAAAAGAGAATTCGTGTGAATGAAGTAATTGTGAAGGTCAATGAGAGATCAATAATAAAGAAGATCATCAAGGTTTTCTAGACAAGTAGACAAATGAAGATCAATAAGAATACAAAAGAAAAAGATGATTCATTGAGATCCAACAAGAATAAACAATGAATTAAACATATAATATGCAAGCTCAACAATCATTATTTGAGCACTTGAATAGAATCTTGTGGTGTCGCAGAATCTCAATGAAAAATACATAAGTCAAACAATTGATGAAAATATTTAAATTCTATTTTCCTTCTTTTTCTTCTCAAGTAAAATAAGATATTAAGATTAAAAGTTTATGGAATATGACATATATAAAAGACATTACTAAATACATCTAGTAGAAATTTTTTTTGATTAATCACAAAACCATGAAACACGTCATAAATTATAAGAACAATAGATTGATTGTCAAACAATAGCAAAATATTTTATATATAAGCAAAAATAGATAATAATAATAGTCAACAAAAACAATTAGAACTAGATAACCAAATAGCAATAGTCAATAGAAACAAAAATTAATAAAAATATCCAACAAAAATATATAACAATAGCAAGCACATGATCTTAAGGTTGAAATGTTGAAGCACAAAAATAGTCAAACATATAGAGATAACAATAGCCAATATCATTGGACCTCGTTGAAGATAACAAAAAATTAGAGAGACAATAAACAATAGCATATAATGAATTATCAATTAATTTTTTTATTTTTATTTCCAATATAATTAATTGATATGTTTTTGGGTCCTTATTATCTACAAAATTCTTTTTTATTCTTATTATATGCTACAATTTTTTGGGTTTTTTAATTTATTAAATTATTTTATACTACTATTGTATTTTAAGGGAAAATATTGGGCCCTTGATATTTTTGGGTCCTGGACGGCCCTGCTTACCGGGTAAGAGCGAGACAAAGGTAGGACTCTTGGTCTTTGTCTCCCTCTTACCAGGTAAGATTATTGGTTACCATATTCATCCATTGAGGTTGTGTGACTTGGTAATCGCTTACCCGGGTAAGCATTTGGTAAACGGCCCCTAAATCACTCCAATAAAGATACCAGATTTAGTGTAACACTATTCATTTAAACCAAACGTACAAAAATTTGAGAAAATAATAAGGATATTATATATCTTGAATCTTATATCGTGGTGTTACTCATTAGAGAAGATTTAAGTAGCGTTTGTTTTTTAAGAGGTGCTGAAGTCTTATTTTCACTTCTGATAAATAAGAGGTGGTGCTGAAATCTGAAATATGAATCAATAAGACTGTTCGTTTTTGTAAACTGATAAATGTCTGAATTTGTTTAAATTGTCTATTTTTCCCATTAGAAAATTATAGTGTTGAATTTATAAATAAATTTATACAATTTCACATATTTATTCATCATCGTTACAAAATTTTCATCGAAATCATATAATTAGCATTCATTTAAACGAAAATACGTCATTAACGGTATTTAACACATTTAAATCATATTAAAATACATCAATTGAGACAGGTGAGGATCGATTTGGTAAGGATTAATCGAAAGAAATGATCGATTAAGGTTAATCGATTAAGAAACGTCCTTGCTAAGTGTTCGGAAAACAATGAGGCAAATCAGAGGTTGGTTTACCTTTTTTTTTTTTTTTTTTTTTTGTAAGGGTGTCCGGGCCAAAGCCCGACTAATCCCCGGCAAATTTGGAGGCTAAACATGGCCCCACTTAAATGTCACCAACATTCCACTCTCAGGGCTCGAACTCGGGTTCATGACTATGCCATACCAGATAAGAAAAGAATAAGACATAAGTGTCTGTGAAAAATTGAAAAAAACAAACAGTCTAAATGACCCTATCTCTTAACAAATGACATAGGGATAAGAAAAGATAATATTAAACCTGAACTCAAAATGAATCAACAAATCCAAAAACAATAAATCTAAACCCATAACACAATAATCAAAAGTAACGCATAAATTAAATCAATTGACGATCAAGGATACAACATTGCAATAAACTAATAAAATGGGTTTCATGTGCTTCTTACCCTTTATTTATGTCTTCTTAGGGTTTCATTTGCTTTGTGATTTTGCATTTTTTTGCAAGTTTTGAATTTGTTTCGACCATTTGATTTGATTGTTTGTTTGATGAACGGGTTTAGAGATTGCAGCTAAACCACATATCAACTATCGCTTCGTCGAGAACAATAACACAATGCAAGAGAGGAAAAAACAAGGGTTGATGGATTTGTAATTTTGGGGGCACGATACGCAACAGCAATACAAGGGATGATGTTGTATTCCGTTTGTGGCAATCTTCAGGCAACGTGGGTTCTTCTTGGTGGAGAACGAGGGGAGGGATGTGTTGCTATCGAAAGAACGAGGGGTGAAGGTAGGTTGTTTCTGTATCTTTATGTGTGTATATGTGTGTGAGTGTGTGTGTGTATATATATATATATATGTATGTATGTATGTATGTATGTATACATAAATTACATATATTTTTATTTTATTTTAATAAAAATGAGAGACAAGTGAAAAAAGACCAAAATGCCCTTTATTTAGCGAAATGTTTTTAACAAAGTTACCAAATTCGTAAGGATTTGCAAATCATAGTAACCGCCAATATGATAAACAGACCACATAGACCAGATCTGTAATATTCGACAAACCATAAGGACACAAAATGTAGTTTACTCTAGTTTCCAAAACAATTGTCGTACTCGGACGTACCAAAGTGACAGAAGATCAATGCGATCTAACCTTTGTCCCCAATTCATCAATGTTGGGAGAACGAGTAAATGAACTTTTGTGATATCACAACAAATCCCTTTGATTTCTAGCTAAAGAACGATAAAATTAACTAGAAAATGAAATTATGGCAATTTCTTATTCACGTTGTCAGCTTAGTAATCACCCGCTGGCTCACTATAATTCGATCGGTGTTTGTGGTCTGCGAATACATTATCATTGTCGACAACAAGCTCTACAACTACAACTTGGATGTTTCTTCCGAAAAATTTCCTCGTGGCATTCAGAGAGAAAACGGGTACTCTTTTCCACTTTCTAAATGTTTGTGTGGATATCTCGCTCCATAGATTGATTATGGGTGTGTAACACCCTCAAATATGGAAAGAGCGACCAACTTAAAATTTTCAATAATACAACAAATAGAGGGTAAAATCTTTTTTTATTAATCAATACTAGAATTACCTCAAATATCAAATCTAGAATCAACATCAGTAAAAGATATATCAAGCCTTATATAAAGACTAAGTTAAGGATGAGTGTTACTATAACTAAATAATTGTCGCAATCTCCAATGAAGACATCAACGATAAAGTAAATGCTTCTCGTGCAACTATCTAGCACTCATCTCATCATAGTGTCGCTAGTACCATTTCTCCACGGACCTGATGCACATGATGATGAAGGAAAAAGGTTAGGCTGAACGCCTAGTGAGTTTAAGTAGTTTTCATTATAATAATAAAACAGTAAAACTGAAAGACTGCTGACTTAAACAATATTTATTGTAAAAGCAACGTCTTTCCAAGAACACACCATTTTCCTAGATGAAAACTTATTAATAAAAAATACCTAACCATACGCAACCAAAACCCAATATTCACACGACCAAGAATAAAGCTATAAAACATTAAAACGGATAACATACCTTTAATCAAGTCTCGGAAACAATTAACTCACGTTTACCCTTGAAAAGGCATAAAAAATTCGAAGATGACGGGAGAGACCCGATTTGTCTTTAGTTGTGACAAAATACATAAGTAAGCCACAAACTAATGCTATATGAGCATCACTTACAGGTACCATTAATATCAACCAAATCCAGTATCTAGTCAAATGAAGTGATAAGCCCATTCACTTGAAGTTACATTATATTGATCAATGGTTGATGCCGTACTCCAAGGGTCCACATCTTAATATCTATGAAGACCCAATGCCTATTCCTAGCTATAATACGCCAGAAATTACATTATATTGATCGATTACTGATGCCCGACTCCAAGAACCCACACTTTATTGTCTATGAAAATCCAATGCCTACTTTATTGTCTGTGGGGGCCACTTATTTTGGGATGGATGGAGTATTTGTTTTTGTTATTTGTAAACATTATTCATCTTATAACAATGAATTATTCTCTATAGTAATTTATATCTATTAATGACCGGTTAATATCTTTTTATATTATTTATAGACTAAGTTTCTATTTACCACATTTTTTGTACATATAATTAGTTATCATGCGATTTAGACGTACAATTATTTATCTCTTAATAAAAATTGCCATAGGTATCATCCTCTTTTTAAGAAGAAAAAAGAACTTCATCATTAATTAGACAAACAATGCATAAAATATCCATACCTCTGTCGTTATTATTATTCATTCTATTTAATTTTACAATTGGTTGAATCCCGTGGAATCATTTCATAAAAGTTCATTGAGATCTTCATATTTGTGCAGTGTTGGGCTGGAGACTCTCTTCAGATTGAGCGCGAACTTTAACAATATTGTTAATTAATTCGATAATGAGTATCATTTTCATTATGGAATTGGTTAACAATACTGCCAAAGCACACAGACATTCTGGATTCTCGAACACATCAAAGTCCCATTAAAAATAAAATACGTAATGAAATGTAATTAGTTTGAACAATGTCTTTGGTTAATAAGAATCTACGAAAGAATTGGAATATGACAATTTAGTTTGCTCAACCTAACTTAATGGTTGACAGCTACGACGACAATGGTCATGATGGCAAAGACGGTAACACTTGTGGTGAAGGCGCTCATGGCTCAAAAATTGTGGTGATGGTGACGGTGACGTCGATCGTTGTAGGAGAAGGAAATGAAATCAAAAATTAAAACAAATATTAAGGGGTTGTTTGTTTACCTCTCAATAATTTTATTAAGAGACAACATCTGAATTGTTAAGAGGTGAATCTTGTTTGGCAGAAAAAAAAGTCTTCCTCTTAATAGTTTTAAAACCCTCTGAACGATTTTGTATCATATACCTCTCTTAACCATTCAGCGCCATAATTTCATTATAAACAATTACCAAACAATTATATTTCATTTTGCACTATATCATGAGAGCCTCTTAGTCATTCTGATCACTTAATCATTTTGCACTATATCATGAGAGCCTCTTAGTCATTCTGATCACTTAATCATTTTGCACCAAATTATTCAGCAATTGAAACAACCTATGAAAACATAATGATATTTCTTAAAACAAATTATATTTGTTGCTAAAACCAAAGGACTTTAATTTCCTTCACATATATGGATTTGAAACTCCGTACAAAAACAAAAACTAGTCGACCAAATACGTTGAATGAAAAAATTAACCAGAATCCATCAAATTCCGAGTTGTTGTATAAATCCAAGAATTGGGTTCAAGTACCAAGTGTCATTTTTCCTTTCTTTATCATTAAAATCGAAAAAACACCTGTAGATTGATGGATGTTTGTTAAACATATTAAATAATAATTAAAAGAATACTCGTATAATACCACGATATACATTAAGATATGTTTTGTTTTGTTTTTTTGTCTATGTCGATATAATACGGTCTGATATGACTTTAAGAAAGCAACAATATTTTTATTCATAAAAATTTGTGTTTTATTTTTTTGTCTCTATCGATATAATACGGTCTTATATGACTTCAAGAAAGCGATAATGTTTTTATTCATAAAAAATTGGAAAAAATGCGGTATTATTAAATTAACTATTTAAAAATTCTTATTTTTTTATACAATTTATTTAATTCAAATTTTTTATTATAATTTAATTTAGATTTAATAAAATAATAATTTATTTTTGATCTAATAATAAAAAATTTATAAAGATAATAATTATAAATATCTTAATTATATTTTACATTTTATTTATATTTAAGATAAAATATTTATTTTATACTTGATTATGTTCATTTGTAGTTAGGGGCTGTTTGGCAGTTGCTGAATGGTTTGGTGCAGAATGGTTAAGTGGTCAGAATGGTTAAGAGGGCCRGAATGGTTAAGTACTGAATGAAATAATGTTGTTTGGTAATTGTTATCTGAATGACAGTAAATTACCATTTTAACCTTCATTCACATTTTCTTTGAAGTTGAAGTTGGATAATGTGTTAGGGCCGATTAACCAATCTGCTTTATCGATTCAAGAATCAAGAACGAAAACCCTAACCAATCTGCTTCATCGATTCAAGAATCAAGAACGAAAACCCTAACCAANATCGATTCAAGAATCAAGAACGAAAACCCTAACCAATCTGCTTCATCGATTCAAGAATCAAGAACGAAAACCCTAACCAAAATCTGCTTCATCGATTGCCAATCTGCTTCATTAATCRTAAACAAAAAAAACCAAAACCCTAACCAAAATGGCGAAAACCTAATCGAAGCGAGGGGCGACGAGTTCGTGAAGGCAACAGGCTATCATCGGTCGAGCGACGAGTTCGTGAAGGCAACAGGTGACCGGCGATGGCGAGGGGCGATAGCGAAAACCTAATCGAAGCTGTGGAAGGTCGCCGGCGATGGAAGCTGTGGAGTCTCACAGGCTATCATCGGTCGAGCGACAACCGAAAACGGGGACGGAGATGGTGGAAGCTGGGAAGG